GGGTTTGAACGGCCAGCCTTCTGGTTAGCAGTCAAGTGTCTTAGCCACTATGCTACCAGAGCTACCAGAGCTCCTGTACCAGGTGATAGGTAGATTAAGAAATACCCTTCCACACCAGTCGCTGAACCCCCGCCCTGTCCCCAGGAGATGCGCTCGCTGCTGCGGAAGGCGGGCTCCCCGCGCAAAGCCCGCCGCGCTCGCCTCAACCCGCTGGTGCTGCTGCTGGACGCGGCGCTGACCGGGGAGCTGGACGTGGTGCAGCAGGCGGTGAAGGAGGTGAGTGGGGCCTGAGGGGCTAGGCCTGCGGGGACCAACGCGGCGGCGGCGGCGGCCGGCAGACTGAGCGCCCCCTGCCTGTCCCTTGCAGATGAACGACCCGAGCCAACCCAACGAGGAGGGCATCACCGCCCTGCACAACGCCATCTGCGGCGCCAACTACCCCATCGTGGACTTCCTCATCGCCGCGGGCGCCAACGTCAACTCCCCCGACAGCCACGGCTGGTGAGCTTGGACCTGCGGTGGGCGGGGACCGGAGCGGGCGGGGCCCACGCTGCGGGCGGGGCACCCACGGCCAGGCGCAGCCTCTCTGCTCACAACTGCTACCCGCGCCCAGGACACCGTTGCACTGCGCGGCGTCGTGCAACGACACGGCCATCTGCACGGCGCTGGTGCAGCACGGCGCGGCCATCTTTGCCACCACGATCAGTGATGGCGCCACCGCTATCGAGAAGTGCGACCCCTACCGCGAGGGCTACGCAGACTGCGCCACCTATCTGGCAGGTGCGAGGCAGGCAGAGCCGGCGCGTTTCTTGGGAGTAGGGAAGGGAGCGTGGAGGCTGGACCGCCCACCTGGCAGGTGCGTGGCTTGGGGAGGGCCAGCAGCCTGGGACCCACAAGGAGGAGAAGGGTGGACGTGGTGGTCAGAACCAACCATGCGGTAAGTGGTGGAGGACAGGGTTTTGCCATCAACTTGGCAAGATAGTCGGAGAGAGGAAGGCTACCTACCTGCCTGGCAGGTGCAAGCCGGGTGGGGGTGGTGGGCAGTGGACTGTTTGTGAGGAAGGGGGACGGGGTTGTGCCTCGTGATCTGTACACCTTTGGGGGAACAGTCCCCCCGGGCAAAGGGCAACCCAACCAGTGCGCTCACCTCTGGGAGTAAGGAGTTGGCCATTTCAACTCTCATCTACCTGACATGGGGCTGGGCAGGTGGGCTCTCTCACCTGTGGGAGAGGCAGTGCCACACAGCTTGCAGGTAAGTAGGCAATGGCCACCTGAGAGAAGGTCATGTCATTTGTGGAGGGAGCATGGGGTTTCTTCCACTTTTAGGGAAGACAGGGGGTGTACGACCTATCCCCAGGGGCAAATGACGTCACCTACGGAAGTAGAGGCCATGGGAACTGGTTCCCTAATGGGAGGGCAAGGTAGGCTCTACCTGGGGTGTGCAGAGGGTCCATACTACACACCTGAACCATTTAGGGAAGCAAAGAGACTTTACAGAAAGTTGGAGGAAGTCGGGCTGTAGGACCTGCGGGTGGAACACAGGGTTAGATATTTGAGAGAGATCAGCCTGGAGTCGCTACACAACAGCCTGCTGACTCTGCCATCTATGGCAGAAAGGGCGCGAGAGACCTGGGGCTGGAACTCCTGGCGACCAGGTGAGCAGGGGCAGACAGGGACCATGCCACTCCTGCAGGAGGTGGAGCGCCCCTTGGAGAAGGGGCTGGGCACCTTTGCCAGGTGGGTGGAGCCTATGAGATTTGGCTCATAGGGTCGCTATGACGACAACGTGTTACCAGCCTGGACGTGGAGGGTTGTATAAGGCGAAAGTAGTGATTAGAAGACACACCTGAGTTTGGTTTTGGTTTTCTTAGAAGAGAGCAGGGGAAACCACAACACAGTGGACTGAACCACTTAAAGGGGGTATGATGGACCCTAAATCGTTGTTAGACACTGTACCACTTGAGTGGGGAGGTTAGGATGGGACATACCAGCCGGAGATAAGTCTCCTCTTTGAAGACGTTTCACTTGTGCTTGGGAAGTAGCACCGCCTGGAATGGGGGCTGATAGGACCCTACAGAGGAAGGAAAGGGGGCGTGGGCTGTACCACTTGAAGAAGGGGTTGAATCCTCCGGGGAGCAGAGAAAGTACCTCTGGGGGTGACACGGGAATTTAAGGTACAAGAGGGGCATGGGGACCACTGACCCTACCTGAAGGGTAGCATCCCAGGGTTGTCATGCTAGAGACTTCCGGTCCTGGCGTCTGACACCAGCTCTGGCTCCCCAGACTGGCGCACACAACTTCTCAGGGGCTTCCGCCCCTGGCCCGGACCAGCTCCGAGCCCTGGGGCTTGTCCCTTGTCCCCCCGGGGGTTCGTGGCTCTCACGATCCAGCATCTTTCAGATGTGGAGCAGAGCATGGGGTCGATGCACAACGGAGTGGTGTACGCGCTCTGGGACTACAGCGCGGAGTTTGGAGACGAGCTGTCCTTCCGCGAGGGCGAGTCGGTCACGGTGCTGCGGCGGGACGGCCCGGAGGAGACCGACTGGTGGTGGGCCTCGCTGCACGGCCAGGAAGGCTACGTGCCCCGGAACTACTTCGGGGTGAGGCCCGCGGAGATACAGGGGGGCCGCCTGCTGGACGAATGGGAGGCCGTTTGGGGAAGGAGACCATCTCACAGGAAAAATGGCGGGGGTAGAGTGATAGGGAGATGTGGAAGAGTCCATTAATAATCGTGGGGAGACGAGAAACAGTCCATTGTAGTTATGGGGGAGTCAGGGGAGAGTCCATTATAGTTAGAGCGGAGGGGAGGAAGAGCCCCTTACAAGACTGGCACTAGGGGGTTGGGGTGTATATTTCGTGGGGTATATAACTGGTACTGCTTACTGGTTATTTGATTGGTCAGTGCCCAATCAAATATTTTTATTATTATCCTGATCATATTAATACAAAAAGAAAACTCATTTACATCTACTAGATTCCACCTCATAGTGACTCTCATTGGGTTTCTGAGGCGATAAACCTTTACACAGCGACTGGTGGGTTTGAACGGCCAACCTTCTGGTTAGCAGTCACGTGCCTTAGGCACTATGCCACAAGAATTCCTGAATGGAGAAGTTAAAGAAGAATCCATTTTAATCATGTTGTTATGTGCCCTCAAGTTGTCCGAGGAGGTATCTCTACGGAAGTAGATTGCCCCATCTTCCTTCCGAGGAGTGGCTGGTGGGTTTGAACTGCCAGCCTTCTGGTTAGCAGTCAGGTGCCTTAGGCACTAGGCTACCAGAGCTGCTTTTTAATCATGAGGAACTACGAATAAGTAGTGAAAGAATGATTTTAGAGTTTTAGTGATAGAATTGTGAATTACAGGCATGGTGGTGAGGAAGCGTTTGTTACACGCCATGGGGCAGGGCATGAAATAATCCATTAATAAAATTATAGCAGCAATGAGGAAGATTCTCCTGGGGTTGAGGAGAGGAGACCAGGATGATCCCATTATATTCCTGAGAGGAAAGATTCTTTTAATTTGGGGCTAGGTGGAAAAGGGACCCAAACAGACAGCTCTAGTGGTAGGGAGAGGCGGACATGGACTTTATGGCTGTGGGGACAACTTGGTATAATCCATTTCATCAATGGGGCTCCTGATTGGAAGGTTCCACTTAGTGCCTGGAGGTGGATTGGGCATGATTTGGGAGATGCTGAGAGAGTCCATTAGAAAGGGATGGGGGGATGGAGGCAGTCCTCGTGTTTGAGGGTGGGAGGATAGGGATGGAAGTAGGGGATTCCGTTACACTTGGGGTGGGTTGGGGCATGGGAGCTCCTGGTGTCTGTCTGAAGTTCCTGTCTCCGCAGCTCTTTCCCAGAGTAAAGCCCCAGAGGAGTAAGGTCTAGCAGGAGAGAAGGACGTGTATTTCCAAAGGACACGGGAAGAAGTAGCCCTGCCTTGGCACCTGAGCGCCCCCTCTCTTACTGCTACAGCTCTGTGCCTCCAGCCCAGTAGGGGGCGCAGTCCCCACCAGTTCTCTGCTCTACTGGAAACCCAGGGAAGACTGGGAGAACTCAGCCTTATGTTTAGGAACGTGCCTTAGCTGTGGGAGGCTGAGGTTAGGCTGGGAATTGTTGGGGGGGAGGAGACCCCCCCCGTTTGCCAAATCAGGTCCCATCCAAAGTGCCGCCCACTCCCGCCACTTCTCCTCAAAGCAAGCCACCCCACAATCCCAGCTGAGCCTGGGATGGCCCGTTACCACTCCATTTCCCTGGCAGTCATCTCAGACCCCATCTCCCCCAGCAGCCTTGGGGACTGGGTAGGGCCCACTGGCTTCCCCTAGGGTCCCTGCCTCACCTCCCCCTAGTTAAGTGCCTTCACACAGCTCTGGTTTTATGTTTTTAACAATATGGGGAGATTTCTTTCTTTATAAATAAAGGTAGTTTACACAGAAATTGGCTTCCTTGTCTTTTGACTTTGTTCTAAGTCCATAAATGCTCATTGTTCCTTTTTTTTTGCAAATCAGTCTGAAACACCCTTTTCTAAGGCAATTCCCTCACATTAATCCAATCCTTACTCTCACATATGACTGTTCTTCCTCCAACACTCCACCGCCACACACATACACACACACACAGGGTCTTGATCTTTTTGCATGCTTTGGATTCTTTTCTTTTTTTTTTAATGTCTCAAAGCATTTTTTTTCTAGGAGCACTGGTAGCACAGTGGTTAAAGCATTCTGCTGCTAACCAAAAGGTTCAAACCCACCAGCCGCTCCAAAGGAGAAAAATGAGGCAATCCCTTGTATAAAGATTGACAGCCTTGGAAACCCTTTTGGGGCAGTTCCACTCTGTCCTCTAGGGGCGCTGTGAGTCAGAATTGACTCCAGGGCAGTGTGTTTGGTTTGGGCTTTGCTTCTGTAAAGATTGACAGCCTTGGAGACCCTGCGGGGCAGTTCCACTCTGTCCTATAGAGGCCTATGAATTAGAATAGACTTCATGGCAGTGGGTTTGGAAGGCTGTTTGGAAGCATAGTTTGGTTATAGTCTATCTCTGGTAATTCTATCTGAAGTGGTGGTAGTGGTGTTAAGTGACATGGAGTTGGCTCCCACTCACAGCAACCCTATGTCCAACAGAATGAAACACTGCCCAGTCTTACACCAGTAAAATATCAGTATTTTTCACTGCTATTCATAAAGTTTTCGCTGTCCAATTCTTTGAGAAGTAGATGGTCTCTTCCTTCTTCCGAGCCGTAGTCTGGAAGCTCCGCTGAAACCTGTCCACCGTGGGCAACCCTGCTGGTATTTGAAATACCAGTGGTATAGCCTCCAGCCTCACAGCAACGCGCAAGCCATCAAAGTGCGATAAACTGACAGATGAGTGTGGATCTGACGCGTAGGAGTATCTAATCCTGTGGCTTGAAGTGTCTTCTGGTTCTCACTCATGGTGGATTACTTCCTTAAGTGTTTGGAAATGATGCATCATGAGCTCATCTTCAGCTGGGCCTTACCTACAGGAAATCCATGGGAACTTGTTGAGGACGGGGCCCTACAGTGATTATTCCTTTGTTTCTTCTTCCCCAGTTTCATCTTCTACTTCACAAACCTTTCTTTGAATATTTTTGACAAATCACAAGCATGCATCTCTTGTGTATTTTTTCTGCAAATCATAAAGCAGCGTTGTCATTGCCTAGACTTGAGATGCCCAACAGATACCAGTCTTCTGTAGCTATTTACGTTTAGTAAATTAAAATTTTTACAAATCAGTTCCTCAGTCACGTTTCAAATGCTCAGTAACCACATATGGATACTGTGGTTAAATGGCGCAGATAGAGAATGTTTCTATCCTTCTAGAATGTTCTATTGTATAGTACTGAATTGGAACATTTGCAGAATCCCAAAACTCCATTGTAGGCTGCCTGGGATCTGTAGTTTGCGTTTACCTAAGAAATGCCATTTCTCTTAGGAGATAATAAAGAATGAGTATTTTTATAAGCTCAAAAAAAAAAAAAACTCCATTGTATACCTTCTCTGTCAATACACCCCACCACCACCACCACGTAAGGATTCTAACTTCCATAGTGATCAATTGTTTTTCATGACTATAAAAATTAAAATGTACTTTTAAAAAAATGGAAAATGGGAAAATACCCCCAAAAGAACAGTGTCTAGTGCCACCCCTCCCTACTCCCCAGCCTGCTTCTCAGAGGCCATCTCTTTCAACTGTTTAAGCTGTTTCTTCTGGTAGTTTATTCTTTGTTTCTAAATAATCTGATGACATTGCTATTTCTTGATTTATCAATTTTAAACATTATTTACTGACTTCCTAGTCCTGTAGATGATATGTTAGCTCTATTACATTTTTATTTCAATCAATAAAGTTAAAAGTTATAAAAATACAAATATCCACAGAGTCAAGTAGTATAATAGAATATTCTCTTAAACAAATTTTTCTGCTTTCTGGAATTAATTATCACATTTGTTGCTTCTTAATTGCTCTGGTAGGCTAGTGCCTAAGGCACTTTACTGCTAACCAGAAGGCTGGCAGTTCAAACCCACCAGCCAGCCACTCCCCGGAAGGAAGATGGGGCAATCTACTTCCGTAGTGATATTGCCTTGGAAACCCAAGGAGGGGTCGCTATGAGTCGGGTCCGACTCGACGGCACATAACAACAACAACAATTTTATGTGCAGCTATTGTTAATACAAGGAGTTCTGGTGGTGTAGTGCCTAAGACATTTGACTACTAATCAGAAGGTTGGTGGTTCAAACCCACTAGCCACTCTGCAGAAGGAAGACTGGGCAATCTACTTCTGTAAAGATTTACCACCTCAGAAGCCCAGTGGGGGTCACTATGAGTCAGAATTGACTCGAAGGCAGTAGGTTTGGGTTTTATGTTATATTTTATTTTATTTTATTTATAATGCATGTGAGAGCTGGACAATGAGCAAGGAAGACCAAAGAAGAGTTGATGCTTTTGAGTGGTGGCATTGGTGAAGAATACGGAAGGTACTGTGGACTGCCAAGAGAATGAACAAATCTGTCCTGGAAAAAGTGCAGCCAGAATGCTCTTTAGAAGTGAGAGTGGCCAGACTTCGTCTCACCTACTTTGGTCATGTTGTCAGAAGGCACCATTCCTTGGAGAAGGATGTCATGCTTGGTAGAGTGGAGGGTCAAAGAAGAAGGGGAAGACCCTCAACGAGATGGGTTGACACGGTGGCTGCAACGATGGGCTCGGGTATAGCAAGGATCGTGAGGCTGGCACAGGACCAGGCAGTGTTTTGTTCTGTTGTGCACGGGGTCACTATGTGTCTGAGCTGACTCAATGGCACCTAACAATAAAATTGTTAATATTTTTCAAATACTCTATTGGATTTGTCATACCCTTAACAATACATCAAGTTTTGTTCTTTTCTCTTCTTGTCTCCCTCCTGAAGGTCTCTTGAATCTGAATTAGCTGCTGTCTTGGCTTATTCTAATCCATACTAGGACATCCCAAAGCTGGATCCTGTTTCCTGGACCCTATTTCTTTGATTTTCTTGGTTGACTTCTCCATTAGCTTCTTTGAAAAGGGAAAGCAAATATTTTTGAGTTTTTGGACAACTAAATATGCCTTCCTTCTACCCACACACTTTATTATAGTTTGTTGTTGTTCTTGTTAGGTGCTGTTGAGTCATTTCCGACTCATAGCGAACCCATGCACAGCAGAACGAAACACTGCCCAATCCCGCACTAGCTCCTCAATCCCTGCTATACTCGAGCCTGTCACCGCAGCCACTGTGTCAATCCATCTCATTGAGGACCTTGCCCTCTTTCGTCGACCCTCCACTTTACCAAGCATGATATCCTTCTCCAGGGAATGGTCCCTTCTGACAACATGACCAAAGTAGGTGAGACGAAGTCTGGCCGTTCTCGCTTCCAAGGAGCATTCCAGCTGCACTTCCTCCAGGACAGATTTGTTAGATCTTTTAGCAGTCCACGGTACTTTCAGCATTCTTCGCCAGCACCACAACTCTTCTTCGGTCTTCCTTATTCATTGTCCAGCTCTCACATGCATACAAGGCGATTGAAAATACCATGGCTTGGGTCACGTGCACCTTAGTCCTCAAGGAGACATCTTTGCTCTTCAGCACTTGAAAGAGGTCTTTTGCAACAGATTTGCCCAATGCTGTACATCGCCTGATGTACTGACTGCTGCTTCCAGGGGCGTCAATTGTAGAACCAAGCAATGTCAATTCTTTGACAACTTCAATCTTTTCTCCATTTATCATGATGCTGCCTATAGGTCCAGTTGTGAGGATTTTTGTCTTCTTTATATTGAGTTGTAATCCATACTGCACACTGTAGTCTTCAATCTTCATCAGTAAGTGCTTCAAGTCATCCTCACTTTCAGCAAGCAAAGTTGTGTCGTCTGTGTATCACAGGTTGTTAATGATCCTTCCTCCAATACTGATGCCACGTTCCTCTTCATGTAGTCCAGCTTCTCGGATTATCTGCTCAGCATAGAGATAGGATAAGTATGGTGAAAGAACACAACCCTGACACACTCCCTTCTTGATTTTAAACCATACAGTGTCTCCTTGTTCTGTTTGAACTACAGCCTCCAGGTCTATGTACAGGTTCCTCATGAGTATAATCAAGTGCTCGGGAATTCCCATTCTTCTCAATGTTATCCACAATTTGTTATGATCCACATAATCAAATGGTTTTGCATAGTCAACAAAACACAAGTCATCATCTTTCTGGTATTCTGTGCTTTGAGCCAAGACCCGTCTGACATCAGCATTGAGATCCCTCGTTCCACGTCCTCTTCTGAATCCAGCTTGCAGTTCTGGGAGTTCTCTGTCAATACACTGCTGCAACCTTTTTAAAATTATCTTTAGTAAGATTTTACTTGCATGGGATATT